AGGAGAGAGGGAGACAGGAGAGAGGGAGACAGGAGACACAGAGGGGACTAGGGACAGGAGAGACAGCCAGATCCGTTCACACTCTGATCTCCAGCCTCTCCCTCCCTCCCTCTCTCTGGCCCGCGGCGCAGGTTCGACTACGGCGACCGCTTCTGGGACATCAAGAGCAAGTACTTCACCTGCCAGTGTGGCTCGGAGAAGTGCAAGCATTCGGCCGAGGCCATCGCGCTGGAGCAGAGCCGCCTGGCGCGGCTGGAGACCAGCCCCGAGGCCCTGCCCGAGCCCCCGCCCACACTGCCCGCTGCCCCCTAGAGGGCTGGCTGTCTGTCTGTCTCTGTCCGCCCTCCTGGGCCCCCGGCTGTCCGTCTGTCTGTCTCTGTCCGCCCTCCTGGGCCCCCGGCTGTCTGTCTGTCTGTCTGTGTCTGCCCTCCTGGGCCCCCGGCTGCCTGTCTGTCTCTGTCCGCCCTCCTGGGCCCCCGGCTGTCCGTCTGTCTCTGTCCGCCCTCCTGGGCCCCCGGCTGTCCATCTGTGTTTCTGTGTCCGCCTGTCTGTCTGTCTGTCTGTCTCTCTCTCTGTCCATCTGTCTGTCTGTCTGTCTGCACAGGTGCATTGGGATCTGTATCCCTCTGTGCCTGTCTGTCTGCTCCATGTCTCTCTGTGTCTCTGTCTGCCTGCCTGCCTTTTGTCTCCCAGTGCCTGTCTGTCTGCCCGCCCTGTGTCTCTCTGAACCTGTCTGCCCGCCCTGTGTCTCTCTGTACCTGTCTGCCTGCCCTGTATCTCTCTGTGTCTGTCTGTACCTGTCTGTCTGCCCTGGATGTCAGAAGCAGCCTGCAGTGAGCTGTTGACTGTTTTAATAGCCCCCCAGTCCAGCTGGTGCCTGTTTTATTAGCCCTCAGTAGAGTTGTCGTCTGTTGTGAGTTTTTACTGAATAAAGAGCCTTTCTCTCTCCTTGTGGAGTCTGCCTCTGTCCCTGCCGAGCGAGACACTCCTCGTCCAGCCTGGGGACTGACCGGCCCAGCTGGACCTCAGCGACACAGCTGGCCGCTAGCTCAGCGACACAGCTGACCGGTAGCTCAGCGACAGAGCTGACCAGCCCAGCAGGACCTCAGTGACACAGCTGAACAGTAGCTCAGTGACAGCTGACCAGTAGCTCAGCGAGATAGCTGACCGATACCTCAGCGACACAGCTGACCGATACCTCAGCGACACAGCTGACCAGCCCAGCAGGACCTCAGTGACACAGCTGACCGCTAGCTCAGCGACACAGCTGACCAGTAGCTCAGCGACACAGCTGACCAGTAGCTCAGTGACACAGCTGACCAGCCCAGCAGGACCTCAGTCACACAGCTGACCAGTAGCTCAGTCACACAGCTGACCAGCCCAGCAGGACCTCAGCGACACAGCTGACCGGTACATCAGTGACACAGCTGACCGGCCCAGCAGGACCTCAGTGACACAGCTGACCGGTACATCAGTGACACAGCTGACCGGCCCAGCAGGACCTCAGTGACACAGCTGACCGCTAG